GGGGGCTAGCGATCCGCGCAATGTACGCCACTTTCGTGGGCTCCTGGGAGGCCTCATCGGAAGGTGGCTCCCCACGCGGATTGACTCACCTCGGGACTCGCCCACCCCCTGGGGGCTTAGGCGATCTGCGCAACAGTCCCGCCACTTTCGTGGGCTCCGTTGGGGAGGCCCAAAGGGCGTGGACCCACTGGAAACCCACCTCGGGACCTCGCCCGCCCCTGGGGGGGCTTGCGATCTGCGCAACTGTCGCCACTTTCGTGGGCTCCTGGGAGGCCCAACGGGCGTGGATCCCACCTGGACCACCTCGGGACCTCGCCGCCCCCTGGGGGGGCTTGCGATCTGCGCAACAGTCGCCACTTTCGTGGGCTCCTGGGAGGCCCAACGGGCGTGGATCCCACGCGGACCACCTCGGGACCTCGCCGCCCCCTGGGGGGCTTGCGATCTGTGCAACCGTCGCCACTTTCGTGGGCTCCCGGGAGGCCCAGCGGAGGTGGCTCCCACGCGGACCACCCTAGAGACCCCCTCGCCAATACCCCTGTTGGCTTGCGATCTAACGCAAACTCTGCAAACTGTCCGCCACTTTCGTTGGCTCCTGGGAGGCCCAGCGGAGGTGGGTCCCACGCGGACCACCTCGGGACCTCGCCGCCCCCTGGGGGCTTGCGATCTGCGCAATTGTCGCTACTGTCGTTGGCTCCTGGGAGGCCCAGCGGAGGTGGGTCCCACGCGGACCACCTCGGGACCTCGCCGCCCCTTGGGGGGCTTGCGATCTGCGCAATTGTCGCCAATTCCGTTGGCTCCTGGGAGGCCCAGCGGAATTGGCTTCCCACGCGGACCACCTCGGGACTCGCCCAACCCCCTGGGGGGTCTTGCGATCTCTGCGCAACTGTCGCCACTTTCGTGGGCTCCTGGGAGGCCCAGCGGAGGTGGCTCCCACGCGGACCACCTCGGGACCTCGCCCACCCCCTGGGGGCTTGCGATCTGCGCAACTGTCGCCACTTTCGCTGGCTCCTGGGAGGCCCAGCGGAGGTGGCTCCCACGCGGACCACCTCGGGTCCTCGCCCACCCCCTGGGGGGCTTGCGATCTGCGCAACTGTCGCCACTTTCGTGGGCTCCTGATGCCCAGCGGAGGTGGATCCCACGCGGACCACCTCGGGACCTCGCCGCCCCCTGGGGGGGCTTGCGATCTGCGCAAATGTCGCCGCTTTCGTGGGCTCCTGGGAGGCCCAGCGGAGGTGGCTCCCACGCGGACCACCTAGGGAACCTCGCCCACCCCCCTGGGGGGCTTGCGATCTGCGCAACTGTCGCCACGTTCGTGGGCTCCTGGGAGGCCCAGCGGGGGTGGCTCCCCACGCGGACCACCTCGGGACCTCGCCCACCCCTGGGGGGCTTGCGATCTGCGCAACTGTCGCCACGTTCGCGGGCTCCTGGGAGGCCCAGCGGAGGTGGGCTCCCACGCGGACCACCTCGGGACCTCGCCCACACCCCTTGGGGGGCTTGCGATCTGCGCAACCGTCGCCACTTTCGTGGGCTCCTGGGAGGCCCAGCGGAGTGGCTCCCACGCGGAACCACCTCGGGACCTCGCCGCCCCCCTGGGGGGGCTTGCGATCTGCGCAACTGTCGCCACTTTCGTGTGCTCCTGGGAGGCCCGCGGAGCTCCCACGCGGACCACCCCGGGACCTCGCCCCCCCCTGGGGGGCTTGCGATCTGCGCAACTGTCGCCACGTTCGCGGGCTCCTGGGAGGCCCAGCGGAGGTGGCTCCCACGCGGACCACCTCGGGACCTCGCCCACCCCCTAGGGTGCTTGCGATCTGCGCAACTGTCGTCACTTTCGTTGGCTCCTGGGAGGCCCAGCGGAGGTGGGTCCCACGCGGACCACCTCGGGACCTCGCCGCCCCCTGGGGGGGCTTGCGATCTGCGCAAATGTCGCCACTTTCGAGGGCTCTTGGGAGGCCCAGCTGAGGTGGATCCCACGCGGACCACCTCGGGACCTCGCCGCCCCCTGGGGGGCTTGCGATCTGCGCAGCTGTCGCCACTTTCGTGGGCTCCTGGGGGGCCCAGCGGAGGTGGCTCCCACGCGGACCACCTCGGGACCTCGCCCACCCCCTGGGGGGCTTGCGATCTGCGCAACTGTCGCCACGTTCGTGGGCTCCTGGGAGGCCCAGCGGAGGTGGCTCCCACGCGGACCACCTCGCTACCTCGGGACCTCGCCACCCTCCGGGGGGCTTGCGATCTGTGCAACCGTCGCCACTTTCGTGGGCTCCCGGGAGGCCCAGCGGAGGTGGCTCCCACGCGGACAACCTCGGGACCTCGCCCACACCCTGGGGGGCTTGCGATCTGCGCAAATGTCGCCACTTTCGAGGGCTCTTGGGAGGCCCAGCGGAGGTGGCTCCCACGCGGATCACCTCGGGACCTCGCCGCCCCCTGGGGGGGCTTGCGATCTGCGCAACTGTCGCCACTTTCGTGGGCTCCTGGGAGGCCCAGCGGAGGTGGATCCCACGCGGATCGCCTCGGGACCTCGCCCCCCGCTGGGGGGGGGCTTGCGATCTGCGCAACTGTCGCCACTTTCGTGGGCTCCTGGGAAGCCCAGCGGAGGTACGTCCCACGTGGACCACATCGAGACCTCGCCGCCCCTTGGGGGGCTTGCGATCTGCGGAACTCTTCTTGCTGCGCTCTCCTGAAATCACTGCTGGGTGCTTTTCTTGCGCACTGCGGGTCCTTCATAATGCCAGTCAGCATTGGGTGGTCCTGAGTGCAACCGCCACATGTCTAGAAAGGGTTGGGTACGTCACAGGGTACTGTCGAGTAGTCCCACCAGCCCTTTGGGCGTGAGTGGTTTAGAGAGCCCGCTCTGTTCTCAACCCCCCTTCTTCCCCTTCGGGGATGGGTTTACCCCTCCCCCTCCCCCCTCCCCCTGGACCTGGAGAGGTCCTTTCGCGGGTGGTTGGAAGGGTTTTTTTCGACTCCTGGGAGGGCTAAAAAACGACACCCCTCACAAGGATTCTGGCCCCGACGGGGGGACTGACAAAAATGCTCGCCCCATCTGTGATCGATCGCCCCAAAAATGGTCCCAACAGGCCCCCAAGACCCCTCCCAAAGAGCCCCAAGAGGCCCCAAGAGGCCTCCAAGAGGCCCCCAAGATGCCCCCAAGAGGCCCCCAAGAGGCCCCGAGAGGCTCCCCCGAGGCACCCAAGACGCTCCTGGAAGCCCCTGGGGCCGCCAAGAGGTCCCCAAGACGCCCCAAACGGCCTCCAAGAGGCTCCCAAGAGGCCCGAAGAGGCTCCCCCAAGGCACCCAAGACGCTCCTAGAAGGCCCTGGGGCCGCCAAGAGGCCCCAACGACGAGGGCCCTGAACGACTCACACCACGAGGAGGGCCCCGAACGACTCACACCACGACGAGGGCCCCGAACGACTCACACCACGAGGAGCCCGAACGAGTCACACCAGGAGGAGGGGCCCGAACGACTCACACCAGGACGAGGGGCCCGAACAACTCACACCACGAGAAGCCCGAACGACTCACACCAGGACGAAGAGCCCGAACGACTCACACCACGAAGAGCCCGAACGACTCACACCAGGAAGAAGGGCCCGAACGACTCACACCAGGACGAGAACCCCCAAACGACTCAAACCACGAGGAGCGCTTTCTCTCCCTCCTCCTCCGCCTCGTCCTTCTCCCGCTCCCACCACAAGGAGGATGTACGAGGAGGCGGGAGGAAGGAGGAACAGGGGAGATATGCTGGGGCAGGCGGAAACACGCCTGAAAAACACGACTGTCGGCATGCTTCGCAAGAGTTGCTGTTTTGAGATGGGCTGGTGGGGATACGCGAAGCGTGAAGAATTTCGATTTTTGCCCAAAATCTGCCTGTAGGGGGACATGCCCGACCTGAGCTTGGCCCCACAACCCCCCCCCCCCAAAGCAACGCAGCGCACCACAGGCACCTCCGGCGAAGGGCCACTCTCGCGCGCCGCCGAGGGCGGCCCCCGAGGGCCGAGTCGGGCGGGTGCCACTGGGGGTGACCTGACCGAGGGGTGAAGAGAAAGGCCAAGGCCCAAGAGAGGCCCCTCAGGTGGGGCGCGCAGAGACGTACTAGTGCACGCCGGTCGGAAGAAGTAGGTAAACACATGAAGTAGGAAGGCGTTGGAAGTAGATGGGGCTTCCACCCGCCCCCTGGAGAGGAGGAAAGAAGGAACACCGCTCGACTCTTGAAGTAGGAAGGCGCCTAAAATAGATTAGGATTTGGGCATCCAAAAATACCTACTTTCAACGACCGCCGTGTACTATATGTCCACCTTGGAGGCGCGCGTCCAGCCCGCACGTGTAGTATACCCATCTTGTTGTGCATCGTTTCCCCAGCGGTGTGGCCAGAAAGCGCCCGCCACGACGCATATACTGTAAGATTTCTCGGTGCGCGCATCGCCCCTGGGGGAGCGACGTACACATAGTAAAGTGTGTTGGGGTGACGCCGATCACGACCCCTGTTGGGCACCAGCTGGTTCCACAAGGGGCCACAAAAGAGCCCCATTTAGGGCTCTCTTCTCTTCGCCCCCGTGTGGGTCACCCCCCGTTACCACTCGCCCGACTGATGTCGAAGGGGAACCGGATTGAGTCGGTCAAATCTTAGGTCGGGCGTGTCCTCCTACAGGGGGATTCTGGACGAAAAGTCAAACCTACCCCCAAGCATGCTCAACACTGAGCAAAAGTTAGCAAAACAAATGTCCCCAGACCATTTTGTGATTTCTGTCTTCCTTAAAACATGGCTAGGATCGGGATAAATCGCTCCGGAGCGTTCCGGAGCGCTCTCAGAGCGTGCCGGAACGCTCTGGAGCGGCCGCGGCGCCCAATACATCCTCCAAACCCGCCGACTCTCAGAGATTTCGAGTTATCCCGATCCGATCTTGTCCCGATCTTCGCGTCGTTTGAAGAGGGACAGGCCCGACCCAAGTCAAGTCGTGGACGCTCCGGGCCCCGCGCCGCCGCCGCTGCCGCGCCGCCGTCCTCCAGCAGCGGCTGCACGGCGCCGACGGCGCTGCGCCGCGCCGCCGCCGCCAGGCCGTGCACGCTGAGGCGCTTCGCCACCGCGGGGGCGGCCGGGCGGCCTGCGCGCCCCGGCGCCCGGGCTCCTGCGGGCGGCGGTCTGCTCGCGCTGCGTGCTCCTGGCCTCCACTCGGCGGCGCGACTGGTGGGCCCGTGTTCCACCACCACCACCACCACCACCACCACCACCACCACCACCACCACCACCACCAGGAGTTGGAGGGGGAGGGGGTCCTCCTCCACCTCCACCCTCCACCCTCCTCCTCCTCCTCCTCCTCCTCCTCCTCCTCCTCCTCGTTCTCCCTCCTCCTCCTCCTCCTCCTCCTCCTCTCCCTCCTCGTTCTCCCTCCTCCTCCTCTTCGTCCTCCTCCTCCTCTTCGTTCTCCTCCTCCTCTTCGTCCTCCTCCTCCTCGTCCTCCTCCTCCTCCCACCCTCCAACTTCTGATGGTGGTGGTGGTGGAAAGCAGGCCCATCAGCGACGCCTCGCCGATGCATGGGCAGTGGGCCCTCGACAGCGAGCCCGCACGCTCCTGAGCGGGGGTGCCGGCGGCGAGCGAGACGGGGGAAGCGAGGAGGAGGCCGTCTCAGAAGGCGGCGGGGCTTCTCGGAAGCCCTCGCGCCCTCCGAGAAGCTTTTGGCGTCTGCGGGGCAGGCTCGGAGGACTTCTCCGGAGGCTGGAGGACTTCTCCGGGCCTTCTGGGAGGGCCCGCCCCCTCTCAGGTCCCCCCCCAGGCGCGCCGCCCCGGTGCGCAGCACGCAGCCTCAGCGTGCTGGCACGGAGCTCCGCACGAAGACTGCAGCGTGCAGGGCTGGCGCGGTAGCTTCGCCAAAGCGTCGGCCAACACACTGAAACAATCCACACCGACCTCTTGAACACGGTACGTGTTGCGCTTGAAAGCGGGCGTGTCGCGGCAGGTACGCTCCTGGTGTGTGCTCCATATGCCTGCGGGTGGCGCCGCGCCGTGACGCTGCCATGGTGGGGCTGTCTGCTAGATTGGCCTGTTCTATATAACCTGTTTGGAGCGGCGTCTTCGTAGCTTTGGTGCATGTTTTCTTGTCGCCAGCTCTTTCTGCATGTTATGTGAGAGTGCTCGTCTTGTGTCTGATATCTACATGGATTCGACATGCGAAGACGCGAGGCAAGATCCCCAAGGATCACTGGGACACTTGGAGCCTGGTGACCGTGGTATGCAGTCGTCACCCGTCGACGACGCGAGGTGGGTTCCCCAGGGATCACTGGAACGCTTCAGGCCTGGCATCCGCGGAATGCAAGGTGGGTCGGGAGCTAGTTTTTGAAATAGGCGTGCTCTGTAGCCTCGAGCGATCATCACCAAATCCGCCGACCCTGTCGGCGTGTGGAAGAGGCTGTTCCGTTTAACTCATCGTCGTCGTCGTCGTCGTCGTCGTCGTCGTCGTCGTCGTGATCGTCGTCGTCGTCATCATCGCCTTCGCCGCTCCCCTCTCCTTTCCCTAGGCCCGTTGTAGTTGAGTCGAAGGGAAGCCCCTCTCCTTTGATGCCTCCCCGCCGGACAGGGGGTGTGGGGTCCCAGGGGGGTGTCCTGGGGGGGGATCGCCACCCAGATACGACTCCCCCCGAGGGGGGGGGGGGGGGGTCGCCACCCAAATACCACTCCCCCCTGGGCGGTCTGGGGGCCCAGAAAAGCCAAGAACGCAAAAGTGCTCCAAGATGCCCCCAAGACGGTGCTCAAGGGCCCCGAATCGCCGAAGTATTGGTCCAAGTCGCCAGAGTAGCCTCCAGACGGCTCAGAACCTTTCCAAAATGCTCCAAGAGGCCTCCAAAAAAGCTTCCAAGATGGCCCCAAGGGGCAAACATCATCGAGTTCCCGGTTTCTGAAACACGTCGGTATTCTCGCCTTGTCAGCTTCCCGACGCTCCGAGACGCCTCCAAGATCGCTCCAAGATGGCCCAAGAGGCCTCCAAGAGGCCTTCAAGACAGCCGAAGAGGGCCCCAAGACGGCTCCAAGAGGGGAGCCCATACGAGGGACCCGAGAGGCCCCCAAGACGGCTCCAAGGGGGGAGCCCAGACGAGGGACCCGAACGGTCCTGAGAAGCTCCCAGGCCCCCAGAGACCCCTAAGAAGCCCCCCAAGAGGCCCCAAGCGGCCCCCCAAGAGACCCCCAGGAAGCCCCCCACGAGACTTCCAAGCGGCCCCCAAGAGCCTCCCAAAAGGCCCAAAACTACACCTAAGAGGCACCCGAGAGCGCTCGTCGTCGACGTGCGTCGTCGTCGTTGTCGTCGTCCTCGTCGTCATCTTCGTCGCCATTCAGGGTCGGCGGCACTGGCCGTGAGGCCTTCGCAATACTTGCATTACACCAACGCGTACGCTCCTCGTGTGGTTGGTGTGTGTGGTTGATGTATGCCAAGACCGTGTGTTGCTAGGCGTATGCTGTTGATGCCTCCTCTCTTGAGGCCAACTCTTGATGCCTCCACTCTTGAGGCCAACTCTTGATGTCTCCTCTCTTGAGGCAACCTCTTGATGCACGTGTTATATCCGTCACCGTGCCAAGAGGCACGAGCTGCAGTGTTCCCAAGTCCCTTCGAGTGATCCGCCTGGCGCTCTGGGAACACTCCTCCAGGGGCCCATGGCCCAGGGTTCTGGGCGCTCCCCCGCGCGCTCTCGGGGGGGGGCTCCGCGTGACTGTTCGAGAGGCCAACAGAAGCGTGTCGTTCTGGACGCGCATGCCGGGCATGATTCCAACAAGGTTTCGGATGGCCCAGGGGACCGTCCTGGAGCCTTCTCGGGCGCCTCTTGGGCCATCCTGGAGGCACCGGAGGGCGGCCCAAGAGGCCGACATCGTCAAACTCCATAGGTTGGCGTATGGCGTTCGCATCACCACCTTTTCGGTCTTCAGAGCGTCCACGACGGCGCAAGATGCGCCGTCCACGACGGCGCAAGATGCGCCCAAGATTACCACAAAGCGGCCAAAGAGCCCGGGAGGGGGGCCCAAGAGGCCCCAAGACAGCCCCACGAGGGGCCCAAGATGGGGAACACGACCCAGGTATCTAGGAAGGGGCCCAGCGGCGGGGGCGAAATCAGCTGCACGCAGCAGATTTCGTAACCCCCCCTTTCCCTATTCCCCCCGTTTCGTTCGGCCCGAACATCGCCCGCTTCTCGAGACGGCACCAGGGCGGGGCTGAAAAATCGGGTGGCCCTGTCGGCGTGTGTGAGGGGCTTCCCCGTTCGAGTCGGGCTTCTCCGTTCGAGTCGTCGTCTCCGTCGTCCTCCGTTCCATGTCTCTGGGCCCTCCTCCTCGAGCGCGCCAGCCAAAGCGAAATCGAGCAACGCCGGAGTGGAGTCGAAGGGAAGCCCCTTCCCTTTGATCCCTTTGATCCCTTTGATCCCTCCCCGCACCTTCAGGGTCGGCGGCCCCGGCCGTAAGGCCTTCGAAATCGGGTGAGGATGAATCGAGAATCTCTGAGATCCCGCGGCTCTGAAACATGTCTCGGGCGCCGTGACCTTCTCAGAGCGTGCCAGAGTGCTCTGAGGGCGGTCTGGAACGCTCTGGAACGGACTTATCCCTGTTCGAGCCCCGTCCGAATGTCGCCGGTTGCGACTCAACCTCGAGATCTGGCGCTCCGACCAAATGAAGCGGCAAGTTGTTTGCCATTCTCCTGGGCAGTCTCCCAGGGTGGAGGGGTCAGGGTGAAATCCCTAGGGGCTTTTACGCCTCGAAAGTCGGTCCGTCTTGTGACCCACCTCTTGCAGATTCAAGCTGCGGGCAACATTCATATCTATATCCAGGGCGTCTGGGATTTTCGTGGAAGGGGCGCCGTAAGGCCGAGGCGCACTGGATATGGATAAAATTCGAGCCTTTAGTAGGGGCCTGATTTTTATCCATATCCAGTGCTCCTCGGCTTTCTGGGGAAGGGAGCCCGAAACCCCAAGGTGCAGTGGATATGGACACAAGTTTTCCCCCCACAAGCCTCGAAAATCACTCGAAACGGCATTTCGGATGTCACCCTTTGCCCTCCGCCCAAAGAGAATGCTCGGTGTTCGGCCTCTGGGGGCCCTCTCCGGGCCTCGGGACCGTCCGGCACCATGCGGGACACACAGCCGACCCCAAGGAACTGGCCAGGGCCTCGGGAGCCCACGCCTCGAAGAAATTGGAGCAGCCGGACGTCTGGGAATGCGACGCCAAACTCTCAGCGTTTGCGGGGAACCGAAATATACCTACACGGCCATTCCTCTGACCTCTCCCCGGGTGCAATCTGACCGGAATGAGGTCGGGCCCGTCCCCCTACAGGGGGATTTGGGAGAAAAACGTAGGAAATACCCTCCGAATGCCCAGAAAGTATGCAAGAGCAGTCCAAGCATCGTCCCCAGACTATTGTTTGGATTATTTTTGAGTATGTTCCTCCTGTGGAGAGGGACAGGCCCGACTAGAAAAAGCAGGACTCTGTGGAGTATCGGGCCGCGGCGACGAGAGCTCCCCAGGATGAGCAGCGGCATGGGTAAATACATATTTTCCTCCCCTGAGGCTTAGTCCCCTCCTCCTCCTCCTCCTCCTCCTCCTCCTCCTCCTCCTCCTCCTCCTCCTCCTCCTCCACAATTACTCAATATGAATACTACTCTCCCTCTTCCCCTGATGACGGTTTGAAAGTGCTCGACCCCCCCCCCGCGTACTGTTTTTTTTTACACACAGGTTTCTCCGGAGCTGGGTTTTCGCCTGCATTTGTTTCCAAAATGCTGCTCTCGCTGACGCGCCGGCCTCATTTTCGGGCCCCGCTCGTTCCGAATCGTGCTCCCGCTGCAGCGCTGGCCTCATTTCCGTGCTTCCGCTCGTTCCGAATGGTGCTCCCGCTGCAGCGCTGGCCTCATTTCCGCGTTTCCGCTCGTTTCGACTCGTGCTCCCGCTGCAGCGCTGGCGTCATTTCCCGTGCCATGCCACGGAATGCAATGCAATGCTAGGTTGATGCTACGCTTTGCGGTGCTCTTCTACGCCATGCTCTACAATGCATCGCGTACCCTTTCGGGATCCTTGTCCTGCTCGACATCCGACTGTGCGAGTAGAGAGGGGATCTACGCCATGGTAAGGGATGGGACGGAGGGGTA